TCCTTACCAACCTCTCATCATTCAAACCCTCCAATGGTCCCCTCACCAAATCTCTCCACACCCAATGTGGACAGATATGTACGATAACGTACAATATAGAAGCAACTATAATCGCAATGACTGCTAGGGGTATATACAACAACCAAGGAAGTTTGGCTCCAGGCACATGGAGGAGCGCGTGCAAATCTCGCTTAAACCACGGGAGGGATGGACAAGAATCATATACGATGCTGTATATAGGAAGCGGTTTTCCTTTCAGAGATTGATATAACCCGGCGATTCCGTAAAATCGTTTACCACCTCCGTTGCTAATGCAATGGACTAACAACCTTGCTTCTTGATCTGATGATTCGGAAAATAAAGCATCAATAGCAGGAGCGGCGTCTTTGCGTCGTCGGGTTTCGGATTGGAGGAGGAACTGAGAAGTCTTCATGGTGCAAAGGACAATGCGAGAGAAGGGGAAAAGATTGGTATAGTAGGTGGTATAGTAGGAGATATGCTTTGGAGCGGCATTGTTCCAGCTGCAAAGGAGGATAGTTGACGGATCGGATGGAGGTGGTGCAGTGGTGGTGGTAGGTGAGTACAGATAGACACAGGGTGATAGTCTATTGAAAGCAGAGAGGGGTTTTTGTTGCACCATTTTTGTTGCACTTGCCATCGCAATTGGAATTCCTGATATATCACAAAAATTTGAACGAAGAAAAGAAATGAAAGAGGATGAAATTTGCAGGATGATAAATCTTTTACTAAAAGTTTATATCATTCCGCGAATCCGCCGACTGGGCAATTGTGCAGAAAACTTTCTGAAACCAGTCCAACCAAGACTGCCAACGCGGCAGTTTTTACTCAAGGGATCCTCATGTTGAAAAATCGCGAATCTGTTGAGCAACGGGTTTGCCCCCGGTTTGGTGACAATCCCGATACGTACGTATCGCCGGCTCGAAAGCGGGTCTTTTCTTGTCATACCGAGGTCCGTGGTTTTGTTTCGGATCAAATGATATGAGAGTTCATCAACGTCCACACTGATATCGACGCTGGCAATGGAATAACTTTGACGGTCTCATTCGTTCCTTCTAGCCGAAGATTAATCATTTTGAACATGGCCACGGAGTCACTCAAACTTTCTGCTATCACAACAAATTTCTTGAAAGCTTGATTTCCGGATATCACACAAACGGCCATCCTTCGAAATTAACTTGAAGACTGCCTGGATTCTCTCAAGGATGATGCGGAATTATCAAGCAATGTTAATTGTATCTCTACTTTTAGAAAAAAGTTTGGCGTTGAACTGGGAAATGTCTAAAGCTTAAGTAAGCAATGACATAAGCAATACTCCGATTTCGTGGCCATTGAACGTAGTCAACTTCAATGACAAAACAATCAGCTAGAACTCACGCCTTTTCAGGGATGAAATCTGGTGGTTGTATCTATGGTATCCTAGAAAACGACCTATCTGGTATCTTGGAAGTTCAGATACAAGCCTGTCGCATACCCACATCATCTCTTAATTTTAATCCGAATCTGCTTACATGAGCCCTCAGACTGAAGCAGAAAGCTGTTCAAAATGACACAATGGTGAGAGACATGCAGAAAAACAGACGAGTAAGAATAGGGAGATCTATGAGGGCTAGCGAAACTTTGATCGTGGCTCGATATCTTGCCATATGTCCATGTATGCACATAGATAGACGATACTTTCTCAGATAAAGTAAAAGTATACGACACAACCCTTTTGAAAAATTGAAAAATCGTTATTCTATATCAGTGATGTCTGTGGTATGAAAGATCCAGATGCCTATTTCCTGTCCCTTTTCGCTTGTTTTTGACACCGATGAGACTGGTGAGTTCCGAAATCCCGTGACTCGGAGTGAACGTTTGTTTCGAATATGTATTTCAAGGCCTGGAAGACTAAATGGCCACACGAGTGGGACACTTTTTTGCAGGAAGAGATTCATCTCTCTTGATCTTAGAAGGCCGGAAAGACAATGCGGTCTTATCTTGGCTAAGCAGAGGGAAAACTTTAACTTAGATCCAGCATGAGTTATTGTGGTACACACGAGGTTTCGAAGTACTTGCAGGGTATTGACTGTTGTTACCGGTATATTGACGTTTGACTTCCTCATTTCGAGCAATTGCCTATCAATACAACTGTCATGGCTCAGATTTTGCTGTAAAACTCCAATCGAAAACGCGGATTGCACAATCACGAGGAAACTCTTCTGACTCTGGCATGGCCGGAACAAAGTTTTTCAAATACAGTCAAGCTCTGCCATTTCTTCACCTAGATCGTAGATGGGCTAACCTAGTCTGATGAGAATTCCACAGAATTGTACAATGAAGTAGATAAATGTAGCGAGTAGAATAATGGATACGATGAAAGGTGACGGAGAAATATATGAAGGCATTACTTTTGTGACGATGAATCTCGCATATAACAATTTGGTGAACTCTGAATCATTGAAAAACTATAATACCATCATTACATATCAAGGGATATCATACGGCGATGATGTGTCCATCAGGAAGCTGTACTAGCTAGGGAGGTGCTGGATTTTCAGAACCTCAGTCGTAGTGCTATCCTTTCGTAATTTGGGAGATTTCAAGGATTTTGAACATGCCAATACTTACTTTGGCTAATCAACAACAAAACTTCCGAAATATCAAGGGTAAAGCCGTATCTAATGATGCCCTTCGAAAAGGCGTACTCGCTCAATGAATAAAGTTAAATTTCTAGACTGACCGGAGATGATGTTAACAACTCATCATAGTCGTTATTATACGGAGAATTACAATGTATCATGTAGCAAGCATCGTGATTGACAAGATTGAATATCACATTGGAAGAGATGTGAACATGACACCGTGAATGCAATCCTCACAAGGAGAAATTCCCCAAAACTATTGTCCGGTCAATGAGAAGCCGTCGCTTATTTCACCTCAAAAGAATCGTATCAAGTAGGTAAGAAACTGATTACTCGCATTGCCTTTTATGTCTCTCAGCTTAATTCTCTCAATGTAGAAAGCTGCCGTCTCACCTCATTATAGTGATGGAGAGTTCGCCGCCGCTCCGCATTATCCCGTCTTTTTTCGTTGGGGAAGGGCTTCGACAACAACGAACAAAAGACCAGAGTAGAGCTCCTCTCTTTGAGCTCGATACTCGATCTGGTTGCTTATGGCTATTCACATGATTACATAGGTATGTGACTACAGTGAATATTTGGCCTCGAAAACTGTTATAAATTATCTTCCACAGGTCAAGTATTTGAAAGTGCCAGAAGTATAAAATAATTGCTCCGAGGGGCTTGAATGGAGCAGGGCCGAGAAAACGAGTCACTCTGAAGCAATTGCAAGGCAAAAATTCTCCATGACTGGACCAAGCATTGCCTTCCAGACGCCGTGTACTCATATGGATATTTGTAGGAGAAATTCGCTCTTACTGTATCTCGTCTGTCAGCCTTTATATTGTCAATTTTGAGTTAAGAAATCCAAAATTTAGCGCCAGTAGCCTATCTGGCAGTGAAAAGCACAGAACGGCAGCGATAGGAGTTGATCTAGGAGTTAGGAGAGTACAAACGATAGGATAAGCTTATCAGACAATAACTTTCACTTCAAATTGTACAGCTGATTAAGTAGTTATTTCCAAATTCGCTTCCTTGAAATGTGTTTTGAGAATTCTGTGAAATGTATATTTCATCTTATCTTTCAATAATATCTCTTATATATCAACCTGAAGATATTTTTACCAACTCCGTAGGGATGATTGAAGAGGACCCCCGCATAGGGTTGTGGTGAATGAATCTCGTAAGTCCCACCTCACTCTAGAAGTCTTTGCAAATGATTCACTTCCCACGCAGTCAGAATATCATCCATAATCATCAAAAATCTCATGTTTCCCACATAAATATAGATATATCCATAGCACTCCTTTCCCTCACATGGCCGGCCAAGAAATGGATTCACCATTTAAAAGACAAATGAGGTTCTGGTAATCTACTTATGCATATCTGTACCCTCAAGAGACTTCCTCAAAACATTCAGTTTCTTAGGATAAATATACAAATGCAAATGCCTGACGCAACAATGGGTAAGATAGAACGACAATGACTCCTTGTCAATGGGGTCTCATAAGAAATGACGACAATATTGAACCACCAACAGCATCACGGAATTTTCTATTCCTCACTATAAATACTGATACTTATCGGTTACAGTTTGTTAATCACAACTCCAGAAGATAGTTCTGGCCGAAAGAACAATAAAGTCTCCAATGCCCATATCAAGGTTTTGCAAGGGATCTGTATGTTTTGGTGAAATACCAATACCCCGATTTTGCAACCCTTTTATACCTGTGAAAACCCATGCACAACAATCCTTACTCCCCAAGCCAGATTCAATTCACCTCACCCCATCTTTCACCCTCCATACCCAATCCATATCTGGTGGAGTACCCTCATGATCAAAAACCCCCAAAACGATGATTCACTACCAGCTCCACACTTTGGACAATCCTGTGTTCCATACGCTTCCTTCAAAAAGGCTCATAACATCCTCAATCCAGATGCGGGCACTTCCAAAGTCAAACACATGATTTACGAATGTGGACTGTGGCTAACAATCTACGTTTCGCTTTAGCACCATGAACACAGTGATTTCGCCGCTTCTTAGTCCCAGGGGAAACTCTGCTTAGTGTTGTTCAAAAACACCAGACGACAGTATGGGGGAAACGACAAGAAGAATACCAATGACAACAACAATATAACCAGATGACAAAGATAAAACTCACACATCAGATAATCGAGCACCCTCAGAATCTACATACCATAACCAGTACAAAACTTTGCACCATCCTACCATTATTGGCCGGGCCATGTAAAATATAGTGCCGCGAATGTTTTCCATTTATTTGTCAACCTACAGAAAGAAGCTAGAGGTAATTATATAGGAGAGAAATTTCGCGTAGCATTTGAACATGCCAGCTCCGGGGTCGGGGTCTAGGAACAGGAAGAAGTGTGAGAAGTTCAGGCAATGACCCCGAGCAGATAAGAGCATGTTATACATTGGATGATAGCCACTGCAGACGACACGGTTCGCTTCTTTGAGCATAAGAATTAGGCAGTTCAATGGATGCATCCATGGGAAAAGGATCAATGAATAATCTCAAGATTTTACTACGTAATACTAGATCAGACACGAAACCCCGTTTGGGGAGTTGTGTAATTGTATTCAGGTCAAAATCTCTGGCCACTGCAGAACCAATACTCCCTGGTTCTTCCCTCTCGCTATCACGTATGACCTTGCGCGCATGCTCGTAATTTATGCTTCCTCTGCACATAATCATCCCATCCCTTTGAGCTTCAGACCAAAATTGGGCAAGCTGGTAATAAACCCAAGTTCCATTTGGATTTCATCCTTGGGCTTTCGTAGCTCTTGAGGCATTTTAAATGGATACTTTCTATGACGCATTGAATTTTGGTATTTCCGATAATGGCTCGTATTCTCGATGGATTGGCGAACCATCGTTAATCACTTTTCGAGAATCTGCTGAACCATCATTCTAAATCAAGAAAATCTCACTTGGAAGCTGATCCTGCTGGCGTGACTGGAGTTGATTTCGAAGAATCCGCGGCTGAAGAAGATTTTGGGGAGTCTGCGACTGGAACATCCACGCGAGCTCTTCCACCTCCATTTCTACCACCCCTCCTACCCATAGTTCCACCTCTACCACCACGCGGAGCGGGATTAGCAGATGGTGGTGCAGGTGCTCTTGGGGCCGGAACAGCACGTGGTACAGGATTTGCAGTATTCCCCTTTCGTGGCATAACGTGAACGGTGCCTTGGGCCACGGAAACTGGGTTCGCAGCCATTGCCTTCTTTAAGCCTTCTGCATCTTCAAAATCGGCATATGCAAAGCCTTTCTTTTTGTCTATTTCAACCATAGAGACCTTGCCAAACTTCTCTAATGCTTCTTTTAGCAATGGTTCGGTCACGCCTTGAGACGGATTGGCATGTTTGATGAAAGCTTGTCGGGAAATTTTGGATGAAACATCCACCTGAGCTTTTGACCCTCGGTTTGAAGTAGCCTGTTGAGATGCTACCGTAGCTGAAGTGGCTGGAGTAACTTTTGGAGTTGGTTTTGATTGAACTTGGGGAGTAGATGAGGGCTGAGAAGTGGCGGTACTTGGTCGTTGCTGGGGTCTTTGATTATCGGGCTTTCTTAGCAAAACCATAGGTGTGGTTGGGGCAGAAGTAGTGGTAGTTGATGGCTTATTGGTAGACGATTCGGTATTGTGATTTTGATTACCTCTCCTAGATCTTCGGCTACCTGATTGGGCGCTAGGCTGAGCGGGAGGAACTTTTGGACCTGTAGGTGTTGTAGGAGTAGCTGGGGAAGATGCGTTGTTGTTAGAAGTTGCGGTGGGCTTTTCAGTAGACTCCGCCTTTACTGCACTAGCTGTATCACGTTTGATACGACGATGCGCCTGCGAAGGATTGAGTCCGAGATCACGTCGAAGCATACGAACATGAGCAGCGACAACGGCTTGTCTTTCATTTGCAGGAATTTTAGAAGTATCAAGCTTAGGTACATTCTTTTCAGTACTAGATTGAGAAGATGCGGAGGCTGCCGATGAGGTTGATGCAGCTGCTGTTCTCTTGCCAGCTTCCCTGTTCAAAATCTTGACAGCTTCTTGTGTGGTTGCAACTTTGTCGGATTTGGAATCCTTGTTGGACTTTTTCCCATCACCTGTAGAATTTGATCCTTCACTTGTCTTGGACTTTGAAGATTCCTGTTTCTTTGCTGCTTTGGCTGCTGATTCCTTCGACTTATTGGCCTTCTTGTCTTTCAAAAATTGAACCAAGGGAGTTACTGTGACCTTCTCGGCCTTTCCTGTTGAGGGATCTTCGCCCTCTGCGCCAACTTCTTTTGTGGTAACTGGATTAGCTAGGCCCTCCAGAAATGCCATGAATTCTGGGTCTTGATCGATTGTACCAGCCCGGGCATCTGTACGACGTTTGAGACCTGCGGGGACTCTGCTGTATGGCGCAAATTCGACAGTGGGTGGTCCAATAAGACAAGAATTTGTGTATGTATTTTTTGCATCTTCAAAACTGGATTTTCGCACGACGTCGGAGAATGGCAAAAGATGATCACTATTCGTCAAGTGAAGATATGCTCGAGAGGGACGGGATGGTTTGGAAGGGCTGTATATATTTGTAAGTAATGTCGGCGCATTCTTCGCGAAAGAACATACTCTTTAGAATCCTTTCCTGGTTTGTATTGAAACCAATCAACCTTCCCTTGCCCTACCTTCCATTCGTCACCAAGCAATGAGCAGAATTCAGTCTCAGTCAATCCGGGAGCCAGTCTGCGAACAATGAGTTTCGTTTTGGAACTTGCTGGCTTGCTAGCAGATTGTTTGGATGTATTTCCCGATGTCTGAGTAGTTGTTACAGAAAGAACACCATTGGTATTATTGCGAGATCCTGCTGTGGTAGCCATTCCGAATGGTAGTTGTATAACGGATGAAGCTTTGAGGTCGACTTTCGATCAGATTATTGCGCCGAATGATCTGGGGCCTGTGGGTCTGAATAATTGATATTCACGTTCCTTAATTTGTACGGGCTTGCAGATTCATGAGAAGCACATTGATGTAAAGAATTGCGACGCCCATCTATTGGAGAAATCACCAACTGGCTTGTATTACGTTTGTGCAAGTAGGAAATAGCATTATTGTACTCGAATATATGATTGCTGATAAGGTTCAACGTGGGGCATCACTTCTGAGGGAATGCCCTTGGGTCGGAAAGCCTAACCACCGAGAATACGGTCACCATTCACATAATCTATGTCAACTTCTTCGGTTATACTACGATATCGGGCATAGCGCAGCATGATTCCAAGTGCACCCTCAGATGAGGCAGTTGAAGAGGTATTCTATCAGGAGGATTACGAACCATCACATTAAGACGACTACGACAACTCCCAGAAAGCCAATATCAGCTCTCAATAGGGCATTGAACAAACCAATTGCGACAATTCCAGAGTTAGAATTGTTGAAAAGAATTCCATACCAACAAGCTATACCTGCAACCTCGAGACGGTTTTAGAAAACCCGGCAGATCTCAAAGAGGATTCAGGAACAGACTCAACTCTCCTAAAGTCGAGAAATTTTGAGTCGCCATATAGTCCTGCTTGTTCACGCATCCAAAAGGAAACTCAAGACTTCGCCATCACCTTATCAGAATACACAACATGAGTCCCACGGTACCCCGCCCTGGAGCTGCGAAATTGGGACCTCGTTCCGGTCTGGAGGAGTGGTTAGCAGAGGCGAAACAATGTCATTATTTACCAGAGTGGGCAATGAAACAACTTTGTGAGATGGTAAAGGAGTGCTTAATGGAAGGTAACACCCTTCCGAATCATCATTTTGTATCTTCTTGTACTGATCCTTCCCTCGACAGAGTCAAATATACAACCTGTCGCAACTCCTGTTACCATTTGTGGTGATATCCATGGACAATTTTACGATTTACTCGAACTCTTCCGTATCGCTGGTGGTATGCCGGGCGAGACAAATGTTCAAGCCCCCACCACTGTGATCAATACGGATGCGCTCGAACCACCTACCGAGATTACAGATCCAAAATTGAAGAAGAAGATACGAAGTAGTGACAGTGGTGTGGAAAGCGCAAGTGGAGGAGACGATGATGATGACGATGATGAACCTCGAGGACGACCACGTACTGCAGGTGGATTAAATCGTAGTACGAGTTCTGGAGTAGATTCTGGGATCAATGTTAACAACAATCAAGTCTCTGGAAATGGGAACCAAAATTTTATCTTCTTGGGTGATTTCGTCGATAGAGGATATTTTAGTCTGGAAACTTTCACATTACTTATGTGCTTGAAAGCTACGTAAGTGAATCACTTCATTTGGTCTGACCCATCTCTAACGATATTAGATATCCTGATAAGATTACTCTCGTTCGCGGAAATCACGAGTCTCGTCAAATCACGCAAGTATACGGGTTCTACGAAGAATGTCAACAAAAATACGGCAATGCTTCGGTTTGGAAATCTTGCTGTCAAGTTTTCGACTTCCTCGTCCTTGCAGCAGTTGTTGATGGAGAAGTTCTTTGCGTTCACGGTGGTTTGAGTCCTGAAATTCGAACAGTTGATCAAATTAGAGTTGTCGCACGTGCTCAAGAAATTCCTCATGAGGGTGCTTTCTGTGATCTTGTATGGAGTGATCCTGAGGATGTTGATACTTGGGCTGTTTCTCCTCGTGGGGCCGGTTGGCTATTTGGAGATAAGGTTGCTAATGAATTCAATCATGTCAATGGTTTGAAGCTTATTGCCCGTGCTCATCAACTTGTCAACGAAGGATACAAGGTATGCTATCTTACCTGCTAAGATGAGAACGGAGATATGCTAACATTTTTCAGTATCATTTCGCACAAAAATCTGTCGTTACTGTCTGGTCAGCTCCTAACTACTGTTACCGATGTGGTAACGTCGCTTCGATTATGAACGTTGGAGAAGATCTCAATCCTAAATTCAGCATTTTCAGTGCCGTACCAGAAGATCAACGTGCAGTTCCAGCTGGTCGGAGAGGTGCTGGGGATTACTTCCTTTAATTATACCACACGTTCTTTACTGTCGATACATTCTCCAATTTCAGGAGATGTATACTGGATATCCACTTAGGCGTTTGTTTTTTAAAGGTCGGCATTTTATGAAGGCGTCTGTTTGGTCACATTACCCCTGTACAACAATAGTTGAATCTGGTTTCTGTCTTTTGCTTTTTAATCTAAATCGAGATGATGGGTTTGGCTTGGCCTGATCTGGCTATTTGACACGGAATAGGTGTGGAATGAAAGGTATCTATGGATCTTAGACCTTATGAGTTGATGAGTTGATGAGAGATGGTTCAAGAAATACATGGCATGTTATATGAAGCGTAGCATAAGCATACAAGATGATGATACAAATTCGAGTCGTTGCATTTCGAAATTCTCAAAGTCATCTCTTGCAAAAACACATGTGAAAATGTGAAAATGGTCCAGTTCACCGCCAAGCATGTAGAGTAAAGGGCCTCCAATTGAATATCGAGGAAATTCGGGGACTTTTGATGTATCTATGCGTGCTAGCATCTACCTACCCCGCACAACCGTGCCGTTCTTACTTTGTGACTCAGGTTGATGTATGGATAGATGAGTCTTTTTTTGTTCGACATCAATTGTATTGTTAAGTGTTTTTGGGTTCGAACCTGGCTTTCTCTCGTGAACTTGTAGGATCACATTATATTACATTATCTCCTTGGGCAAATCAATCGTATACATCACTTCTCCCACCTACCTACATATATATATACATATATATTCCTCATCCATCTGACCGGAACCCTCGATTTTTCATTGACTTATTTATCTTTGGCAATTTTCCTCAGTTCCTCAGTTCCTGAAGTCCGATTCATAGAAAACTAAAGAAAAGAGAAAAAAAGCTAAGGAAAATGGTTAAATACTTCCCGTCTATCTCTCCAGAATTAGCGGAGTGGGCAATGGCTCAGCCGGTCTTCTTTACAGGCTCAGCGCCGACGTATGGGAAGCATGTTAATCTTAGTCCGAAGGGGTTGCCGTGAGTATCTGTTTTTTTTTGGTTTTGGGGAAGCTAGGGTGATGGAAAGGGGGGAGGAAGATGAGGTGTTGGAGACAGACGTGATATGGATGATGAGATGGAGGGAATGGGAGGGGAAAGCGGAGAAAGAGTAGAGGAAATATTTACTGATGTTTTGGTGATTAGAGACGCGACGTTTAAGATTTTGGGACCGAATAGTTGTGCTTAGTGAGTTGTTGTTCCCTTTCCTGTTTCTTTTTCGATGGGGAAGTGGAAGATTCGAAATTTTTGGAGGACTGCGATGATGTGTGACTTTAGTGGTCATTGATCTTGGTGATACGTGTGGTGGTGGGCTTCCTTTTTCGACTCGGAACTTGTGTTGTGGTGTTTCTACTATTTGTCGATTTCATGCACCTTGATATCGTCATTGTTTCTACTCGCGGCCTCCAAGTTTGCGGATGATGAATCTGATGCTTCAACAGTATCGATGCAACTGGTTCGGGCGTCGAGACTATCAGCCATATCTATGGTTCGTTCATTATTTTCCTTCTCCTCTGCTCTCCCCCTTCCACAAAAAGCAACCTTCTAAATTCACCATCTGCCCCTCACTAACTTCCTCCAAGAGAATAGTCGCGTAACAATCATGTTCTGTTCTTTCACCTCCTCTCCCCGCATTATGCGATTTTTCTGTACGGGACGTGTAGTCGAATGGAATACACCTGACTTTGCACCTCTATTGGCTAGAATGGGAAAGTCGAATGTGGATGGTGCGAGAGCTGTGATCTTGTTGGATGTCTGGAAGGTGTGTTTTCTTTTTTCTTCCACTGATTCTCATGAATGCATCTTATGATTTAGCGCAATGGAATTCTGCTCTTGACTTCAAGAAATGGAGTGTTCGAGACAAATGGGAGACATTCAAAAGAAAAGATTATTGACAGGAACATTAGGTCCAAACATCTTGTGGCTACGGCGTCCCCCTTCTTACGCCGCTTCCTGTTCAAATTGACAATCCATCATCTGGTCCCTGGACCGATCGTAAAACTCTAGGCCACTGGGCCGGTCAAAAAGTAGAGAAAAACGAAATGCATGATTACCAATTGTTGAACAACAGTTACTCACATGATGCGCTACCTGGATTGAAAAGTGCGCGCAAACAGAAACTGGGGAATAGTGCTATAAGAGTCAAGGTTGATGAGGCGATGTTCTGGGGAAGGAGAATTGTGAAGGGGGAATGGAGAGGTGTGATCTTGGGAGTATTGATGGGTTTGTTTATGGCGTTGCTAATGAGAGTATGGGGCAAGGAGGGAGGACTCGAAAGTGTAGTAGGGAGAGTAACAGAGGTCAGAGAGATGATGGGGAATTTGACGGGGAGGAATCATTTGGAAGTTGAGCTCTGAGGGAATAAAGCCGCTATACTTTCCTTTTCTCTAGTTTCGAACTTTTTTTGGAGCTCAGTTTGGAGATAGTCAATATGATTAGATACTCAGGTGATCTTACATAAAGAAGTTGCTCAAAGTTCAAATTGTATATCGATAGTAGACAAGTCCTTCCGTCTGCCGTTACCCATGGTAGACAAGATGTAACCTTACACGCGTCACCAACCAACAATCTAATCTCCCCATCCCCTTGAAGCCTTACCTCTTTCCTTCCACACCATCTCATCTTCCCCAGATCTCTCAAACGGTTTGTCATAAGCACACCGTCATTTTTCATTTTCCATCCCTTCCCATTGCAATTTTAAAATTGTCTGGTGATGGTGGCGTTGGTCAAGCTTTTTCGCCAAGCATTGCTTATTTGTCTATCTGGAACATTTTTGTCTGGGATTTCGCGGATATTTGTTCAAATTTGATTCAGATAGGTTTTTTGAATATTGATTGATTGGCGATGCTAGGCCTTATACTCGAAGACATCAGAGCCCACGATGAAAAAGGGTGCGGAGTTGCTGATACTACCTGAATACGGTATCAAGCTATATATCGATCCATCAAACTCGCAGCTTTCGTGTTTATCCCTGACAACGGTATCAGAAACAACATGTCGAAAGATAACATCAGATTTCTTCGGTCCTGTTTGCAGAATCAGAATTCTCTATACGGGGTCTTTCATCCAGGAGTTCATTTCATTAGATCTTAACTTTATTTTGATCCGTCCAGTACGAGAAGTCGGAGTGCTGCTTTGAAGGGATTCTCGTATTCAAGTTGCTGTTCCTGGTATTGAGTGGAAGAGAGAAGTTCGGAGGGGTGATGTGAAGGAAGGTGGACGGCTGGACGGTTAATGCAGCATGGTTGATCTACACTTAGTAATATTTGTTGATGGCTTGGCTATCGAAAACAAGGATGATAGATAGACTTTTCGGTACGCATTGTGGGTGTCACTTTAACTTGGTATATTATTGTTATTTTATTCAAATTTTAATAGGCGAAGTCAATTGCTCATCGGGCATTGTATCGCTCTGTTTCGAGGTCTTGTGATCTTTGTAATTAATATCTTCATCTCTTCAAATCATTTATTGTCATCTCGAGGGGGAAACGAAATTGCCGTTCACTGGTGTTCCTTTCCTATGTGGTTACCCCCTCGGATGTTTGTACAAAGTATAGTAAATGTGCAAGTGCTAAGTATGCCCTTTTGGTTAAAGATCCTCAATACATGCATGTAACCTTACTCATCAATCGCCCCAAAGTTCAAACGCCTTGATGCCGTCCGGATATCATCAGGAGACTTGTTCCTGACTGGTGGCTCAGGGTGGCTCACCCTAACATCTCGTATTCCATATCACAACCCTTACACTTACACTTGGGGACCATGAAAAGTATGGATATCTTAATTGGGGTAGGATATGGTATGCAGGAAAGATCGGGGTTGATTTCGGTTTATATTGGCTCTTCCTTTTGTTTTGATTTCTTTTGTTTTTGACATTGTTTACCCTCTTTCTGTTTTGCGTCTTTTTTTTTTTTTTACATAATTGAAGAGCTTGTGATTATTTCATCATCTTTTGATTCATACATACATTCAGTCTCTCGTTCTGCTTGTATCGTACGCATTGCACTTGTATTTCGAGTAGTTTACTCTTGTTCCATACCTCCATTCGTTACAGTCTTTTGCCCTCGGCTTTAAACAACATCACGATGAAGTACTCACTTATTCCACTCGTTCCCCTTTTCGCGGGTTTATCTCAAGCTGCAAGTAGTGATGATTGGGCTGGGAGATCTATCTATCAGGTTATCACAGATAGATATCATCGATCCTCAGATTTAGATGCTCCTTGTAATATTACAAATTATTGTGGAGGTACTTGGAATGGCATCACGGAGAATCTGGATTATATCCAGAATATGGGATTCACGGCCATTCAAATTAGTCCTGTCAATTTGAACATTAACAGTACGACGATTTATGGACAAGCTTTCCATGGATATTGGCAAACTGTAGGTTTTCTCTTGGCCGAGCTTCTCTCTGTTTGCATGCAATTGGCTTGCTATTGTGATAGCATGGAAAGTTCTAACATCAATATTCTAGTCTCTTTACGATCTTAACCCAAACTTCGGTTCAGCAGATGATTTGTTGAAACTTAGTGCAGAACTTCACAAGAGAAAAATGTACCTCCTAGTCGATGTCGTCGCTAGTGAGATGGCTGTTGACATTGGAGACCACAACATGACAGCAGGAACCAAGATCGATTATTCTGCTTTCTCTCCCGCTCCATTCAACGATGAAGCATCATACAACTCATACTGCCCAATCATCGATTGGCAAAACCTCACAGAATATCAAAATTGTTGGTTGGGATACACCGGAGTCGCAACTCCAGATATCAAAACGGAGAATAAAGAAATTGCAGCTGCACTAGGAACCTGGATTAAGGAGCTCGTCGCCAATTACTCCATCGATGGAATTCGAGTCGATGGTGCTAAACAAATCACATATGATTTCTTCCAAGATTTCGTCGAAGCGGCCGGTGTGTATCCATTGGGAGAAGTAGATGATGGTGATGCTGCTTTCACTTGCAATTATCAACAGTACACTGAGGGATTGGAGAACTACCCAGTTTATTTCTCAACCATTCGGGCCTTTACCGCTGGAAAAATGTCCGATTTAGTCGATATGGTCAAGACTGTGGGAGCTTTGTGCAAATCTCCACAATATCTTGCCAATTTCATTGAGAATCAAGATCAACCGCGTTTTGCATCTTACAATGATGACGAGACTGTAAGTTTTTTCCATTCATCATCTCATACCGAATTACTGACGCAAAACAGCTCGCAGCCAACGCAATGGCCTTCACAATCCTCGCAGATGGTATCCCCAAGTACTACTATGGACAAGAACAACATCTCCAAGGCAACTATTCTCCATACAACCGTCAAGCTCTCTGGGAAAGTAAACCAAGCACAACTGCTCCTCTCTACACTATGACAGCTACTCTCAATACCCTCCGTAACCACGCTATCTCCATAAACTCAAACTACATCACCAATTCATCCATCCTACTCCACAGCGACGATTCCACATACGCAACACGTAAAGGACCAAACGGTGTTCAAATCGTCTCAGTACTTTCCAACCAAGGTTCCAAAGGAGGAGCTTACACCCTCGCCGTCAACAGCGCCGCAGACGCTGGAACAAACATGACAGAAGTCATCACATGTAAATCATACATCGCAAGTGAAAACGGAACGCTCTTCGTCGAAATGGACAAAGGAGAACCAAGAGTCCTTTTCCCTAGCTACCAGATGAATGGAACAGGTGTTTGTGGATTTGACGTCGATGCTAGTGCGGGAACAGCAACAAGCACAGGAACGGCAACTGGAAGCGCAGCTAGTGCTTCGAGTACGAAGAAGGGAGATGCGAGTGGATTGAGGGTTGCGGGATGGGTGTTTGCGGGTGCAATGGGTGCATCTGCTTTGGCTTTTATGTAGAGGGATTCTTGGGGATTGAGTTGTGGTTAGGGGTCGGGCTACTACATGTAATGATTACTAGGTAGGTATCTGAGTGATAAGCTTGATGTCTTATGTGTGTGTGTATTTGTTTCTAGTTCGATGTACTGCGTGCGTGCATGCATGTATGATGGGATTGGATTGGATGATAGATATCATGCCGATATTTCTAGGAATGGAAGGTGGATTATGTGGAAAGGAAGAAAGGAAGAAAGAAGAAGAAGAACCTCGGAAATAAGATTATATCGACTTTTATTTACTTAACAAAAATTAATCAATTAATTATTTTCACATGATTGTTTTGTGAACTTCTATGTTATTTATTTATGGATGTTTTTCTGTAGATCTTCATAAAAGTGAAGAGGATGCATGCTTCGTTGTTTGCTTGTAGGTTGCATATTGACATATTCATGGTCGTCCTAATTGACATATATACCCGCATCTTACACTTCCAAGGTTACTTGTATGCTCAAGCAAGTCAGAACACAAAGCTCGGGATGGATGAATGAATGAAGAAACCATGACCTTTATCGTGTTATTCATCCAAGTAATCATTCCCCATACAGATAGAAAAGCGAAAAGAATTCGTTGTATTCTTACATCTTATCTTACCTACCTATGTAGATACGCCCTACCATATCATATCATATCATATCTCTACCCCATCTCATCAAGATCTCCAGACCACCCTAGCTCCTCGATAAGATCAAGGCACGTGAAAGGGTAACCATGGAAAGGAAAGAAGATCTTAGCGTCAGACTATCAGCGAAGCTACCTACCTCACCATCTCCCGCTTTCTCACACCCGTCTCCTGATTTGACATGACGTGATGTCATGCGATGTGATTGAATAGGATAGGATAGGTTAATCTCAGATCACATGAACGAAGGAAGGGAAAATGAAATGATTTTTGTTGCGTATCTGCAGTAGGAGGAACCTGGTCCAGCTGAAGTGGAGTTCTGGGAGGCGGGATTGGGGACTGGACTGGGGTGTTTACGTACATGATGTGTGTGATTTTTCGATTATGGTTGGTTGATGTTTTGTCTTGTTGAGTGAGTACTTGCTTGTATGTTGGTCGCGGTCTCGGATTAGAGAAGTGGTTAGATGGATGACTTTGTTCTTGGAATCGCGCTCGGTTTGTTGAGTCTGTTTATTTGGATTTGGTTGATTGGTCGATGGCGAGGAGATTGGAATTCGTGCGGGGGATTGATATTGATGGTAGTTCTATCGTTTTTGTTGCGAGAAGGGATATGGGGATTCCGTTTCAATTGGGGTTTTTGTTGTTGATTGGGAGAGTTGTTCGATATCGAGAATTCCTGCGAGACGGGGGTTTTGGATATATGGTCCAACTCTGAAGATTGAATCTTATGTTTTCAATGTTGGCGGGCTGCTCTTTGTCCATTTAATTATGTGGTAGAGTCTGGGCACAGTTGCATCTTACTTTTTGTTCTACATCCAGATTGTTTCTCATTACTATTCTGTACACATTTATGCTACCTCGAATGTTAATAGCATCTATACCTAGGGAGAAGTTACACAAGCCATGCTACCTGAGTAGTCTGCGGCTTTCGATTGGCAAGACGAAGCTGCGGATTGATGAATCAGATGGGTGCATCTGGACCGAACATGAATTGGAGAGCTCTTTCATCTATTCTTACCATTCGATAAAACTCTCTTTCAAATCCCTTCTCTTTGGAATTTTATTTGGAATTTACCCCGCAATTACCCCTCATTGTGTCTTTTATGGCACAATCTCATCTTCTAGCTATTGTTGTTATTTCCCTACCTAATGTGTTTCTCGACATAGAAAGAGAGCCGGTACTTTCTGTCATTCATAGTTCCCTTGAACTCGCAAGTTAATTCGACTCACAACTCCCAAATAATTCAAACCTCATAACACATCATCAAAATGACATCTCTCAAACCTCGCACCATAATAATAATCGGCGCCGGCCCCCTCATGTCCCGTAGTCTCTCTCTCTACCTCGCTTCTCACAATTGGCAAATCATTCTCATCTCTCGCAATCACTCCTCTCTTCTTTCTCTCGCCTCAGAAATCAATGATCTCAACCCCAAAGCACCCAAAGTCCTCGTCCACCCAGGCGATGCTAGTATCCCATCTTCTCTCCACAAAGCTCTAGATTGGGCTGCGGAACAAGTGGGTGGAAAAGTAGATGTTCTTTGCTATAATGCTGCACATGTGGCTCCGAGTCCTATTTTGGAATTAAAACCCGAGGTTTTGACGCAGGATTTTAACATTACGGCGATGGGGACTTTGGTTGCTGGGTATGTTTATTTCATATATATCACAATATCAGAATTGGATCACTGGAAGGAGAAACACTAACTGCAACTCTGCAGACAATGGTACATTAATCACGCCAACACCTCCCATATTCCCCAAGGCGAACATCCTCTTTTTCTTGTTCCCGGTGGCCTACTTGATAAATACCCAGATCCTAACATCTCCGCTCTTTGCGCCACCAAAAGCGCAAGCCAATGTCTTGTCAAAATGTTTCAACAAGTTATGGCGCCAAAGGGAATCCTAGTCGGCGCACCAATTGTAGGAGGAGAAGTGGTAAAAGAGGGGAAGATGTCTCCAGATCGTATCGTGGATGGGGTTTTTAGGCCATTTTTTGAGGAGAGAGAACGGTATGGAGCGAATGAGGGGAAGTGGGTGTTGGAAAGAATTTGGTTGCCGGAGGGGGGGTATGGAAGTACAGGGACAGGTGGGATTGGAGGAAATGAGAGTGGGAAGTAAGGATTGTGCTAATAGGTTGACAGAAGTTTGATAAGGGGGGCTTTGCGTGGAGTTGGAGGGACGGGGGAGAGGAGAGGAAGGTGCGGTACGAAATTGTGAGTAGTGGTATGATTATGAATTATGACTAATGTGATTTTTCAATTTGAGGTCTTAGGGAATTAAGCATGCTATAATCAGCAATGATGATGATGGCAATTTGTTTCCCAGACAATTGGAGAGTACCTGGAGTCGTTCTTATTTTCAACAATCTCCTCGCTCGCCATTTCAAGGGAAATGGTAATATTTGTATCTAGGATGAATGGGTATAAGGCCAAGAAGAAAACACTTCATCCCAGAATTGATGTGGGTATAGAGTTATGGAGTTCTGTTCTCATAGTTCTGCAGTGTTGATTTGTTACTACAAATTCATGAACACGATTCTTGACGTGCAAGATATCTTTCGCCCCTCCGCATATTCTCTACAACAATAAACAACAAGGCTGAAGATACCCGAACTGTTCTTGGCATGGAGCTTGTCACTAGTCTTGGTGAAACAATGAAATCTTCGTGACTAAGTGTTGAAATAGAAATACTCGAGTACTTGTTTGTACGATATCATGACATTATATTTATCAGTAAGATGAACCAGGCTTTTTCACAAATACTCTCTCTGATTCTATCATACACCTGTTTCTAATCAACAATCAATCGATCTGATATCAAAATTTAAAGACATCACTCAGTAGCCGTTAGTTTAGAAAAGGGTTTGTCCCTTTACAATGCCAATATCAGCACAGAGTCACAATGCTGCTAAATAACGTAAGATCGGCAGAGAACCACTGTATGTAAGGGGAGCGGGAGCCCCAAGATTACCGTGTTCGGGCCGTCAAACGAGCTTGTAACTTTTCTCCACATGATAAGCTTTTGAGTATTTGCGACTTTTTAAGGACGACATATCATTGTGGCTCTTGGGAGGGTTTTTAGATCACTGGGTATCATCTCATCAAGGATGTTTGATTCTTGAAAAGAAAAGATCTATGATTGAGAGTGGCTACGCAACCAAAGGATTATTATCGATTGGATATAAAACTCAATGACGAAAATGCAACGTCTACATATCTGTCAGACAAAAGCAAATGCAGATATATCGGCTTGACTTGCTTTCCAGATTGATACTTGGCATTGACGACATCATCCGATAGATGACTCCTTCGAGGTTTGAACCAAGCAATGCCCAAAGTTTCTTGAATCAGGGAGAAGCTGTCATTGATCATATATCACACTTTACGATTCCTTGGTTGATGAATTCCAAAATGCTTGATCTGATTTTTATCCTTGCCGTTTCATAATTTTCATTGGATTACCAACGTCGTTTCAGCATCGGACGTCTGGTGTCTGATCAACCACGGTTAGATTCTTCCTTCCTATATATCTACATGATGAGTGGGAAAAGAATAGAGCAAGACGTCAAAACATGAGGTCAAGGATTCCATGTCGTTTCAAAGAATGAAAATCCTAGTGGATTTGTCGATGATTTGGATATCAGATTGCTGATGAGCGGTATACACGTATCGTTCTTGTGAAGAATGGGAAATATTCTTGAGAGATCAAATGGGCATATGTTGATATTTATGCTGATCTTTAGTCCTGGGAGTTGGGCACTACTTGCTGTTTGAATAAAGCCAAGGGATATGTTCATGTATCATAGTTGATCTAAGAAAAGAACTCCCCATCTCTCATATTTTCTCATCTCCCATTGATTTCAGAGCTTTTCTTCATGAATTATTATTTCTATTCCGTAATTTCATGAGACACTTGCTCATTATCTCCTACATGAGTTTCTCCGATATTACGATCCTAATTCATTCTGTACTCCGATTTCAATAGTCCAATGAAGTCCATTTGTTGACGCTCCCTACAAAAATTCTTTCATACTCTCATTTATATCGGCCATCCAAATGGGTGGATTTTCTCAGTCGAGATCGTTTCTCGGCGATGCTATATCGATAGCATCAACACCTCTACGAAATAGTTTCGAAATAAGTTGTCGATCTCCTGTTACACCACGACGACCGTATTCATCGAACAAAGATGGGGCAAAAGGATTATATGTTGATGTCGATCGGTCGAGAGGGAGCTCAATATATGGTGATTCGAAATTTCTTCAAACACCCCGGAATTATCTATTAACACCAAACGGCCGGGGAAACATGAAATCAAAAGAATCAGATGATGAGGATGAACAATTCGATTCATATTCAGGTACAACTTTAGCTTCGCCAGCCGAATCGTTGACCTTTCTTCCACGAACTCCATTATACAATGTAGATCCAAATACACCCGAAATCACCAAGCTCGGCACTTTTTCCACAATAAATATAATAGTCGGCAAAACCGTCGGAGTAGGGATTTACTCCATACCCAGTTCCATTCTCCAATCTGTAGGAAGCGTAGGAGCCAGTCTTACATTATGGGTCATCGGATCTCTGATTTCCTTCTGCGGGCTCGCAGTATATCTCGACTTGGGGACTGCGCTACCAAGATCCGGTGGCGAACGCATATATCTCGAGAGGATATTTAGACAACCGAAAATGTTGGCAACGTGTGCATTCATGAGTTATGTTGTGCTTCTCGGATTTTCAACACCCAATTGTATCGTTTTGGGAGAATATATAATGTACGCCCTTGAAATTGATGCAAATAGGTGGAATGTCCGTAGTATTGCAGTAGCAGTCATTACACTAATATGTTTCATCCACGCTCGCTACCAACGAACCGGTCTCCGCATAATCAACATTCTGGGCGTGGGAAAAATGTTCTTCGTCCTCATCGTAATTCTCTCCGGGCTCGCCGGCCTCCTCATGCGCATCGGATCCTCTTCCTCCATCATCCCCCGCCGTCTCAATCTCATTTCTACAGAATACATCCCCGGAGCTCCGCAACACCTCTCTACCGCCCAACGAAACTTCTCCCACCTCTTCGCAAACTCCTCTACCCAACCCCACGACTACGCCACCGCGCTCCTCAAAATCCTCTACTGTTTCCGCGGCTACTCAACCGCTAATCAAGTCCTCTCCTCCATTCGAAATCCCATCCCCACCCTCCGCACCGCAGCCCCTATTGCGCTTTCCCTCGTTTCCGCTGCCTATATCCTCGCCAACATTGCGTATTTCCTCGTCGTCGAACTCGACGATTTTCGCTCCGCGGGAGTAGTCGTCGCAGGGCATTTCTTCCGAAATATTTTTGGGAAAGTGGTTGGTGAAAATGTATTACCGATTGCGGTAGTAGTATCAGCCTTTGGAAACATCGCCGCGACAAGTTTTGCACAGGCGAGAGTTAATCAGGAACTTGGGAGAGATGGACTCTTACCCTTTTCTAATTTCTTCTCGGGAAAAGAAGGGGAAGCGCCGATCCCGGGATTGTTTCTTCATTGGTTTGTCAGTGTGTTGGTTATTGTCGTGCCTCCGCCGGGAGAAATATATAACTTCTTGGTGGATATTGGAGGATACCCCGTTTCGGTCATCTCGGTTGCTATTAGTGGCGGTTTGTTGTATTTACAACTTACACCGTCGGAAAAATACCAGTCGCCTTTTAAGGCGAAGAAGGTATATATTGTGATTTTTATGCTGAGTAATTGTCTTTTGTTGATTTTACCATGGATTAAACCGGCGGAGGAGAAGGGCGATGAAAGGTTTCCTTATTATGCGTATCCCGTGACCGCATTGGCGATTCTGGGGAGCGGAGTGGTTTATTGGGGATATTGGAGGTTGAGGGGAAAATGGACGAGAGGGGTTGAAGGGGGGTATAGAGAGAATTTGTTGGGGGAGAGAGGGTATGCGGAAATAGGGAGGGAGGGGGGGAAAGGACTGGGGACAAATGATTGGAGGGAAGGAAAGAGAAATGATGATGTGGATGAGAGTTTGGGGGAGAAGCTGAAGGTCAAAGAGAGTGGGAATGCGACGGGCTCGGGCTGTGCGTGTAATTGTGCGTGTACGACGAAGAGAAATGTGGTTAAGCTGGGGGATGGTGAAGAGAGTTGAGTTGGTGATGGGTGTTTTGACTTTGATCTATGGGAGGAAGAAGATGGCATTTGCTGAGGATTCGGGATAAGGGTACATATACATAGCGTCGGCGTTCTGTTCTGCAGAGGATAATACGGAAGGAAATGGCATGGCCGGGGAATGATACCATAGACTATATTCTACGATCTTATACGTAAACCTCCTTTCTACAAACTTCGCGCAGATGATACATTGTGCCATCGTATTTTCTTGTCGGTATTCACTAATCGCACCAACGATCTTTCACATCTGTCATTGTACAGATGTACCACTAGGTATCTAGGTAGGTATATAAACTCCTCATCAACCCAGCTTTCCAGATTCCAATAATGTGCAATGCGCACATACAAGGATATATGGCGAGAATATCTATCCCGCCATCTCCCATCCTATCTTCACATTCCCTTGAATCTCAGCTTCCTCCATTTTTCGACACTCTCGTTCCGTATCCTCCTTCATTAGTATTGTTGTCGCTGTTTTTATTGTTGTTATTAGTATTGTTTTTATTGTCAGTTTTAACTCTAATCACGCGCTTTCCGACAAATCTTGTCGTTATCCCATAACACTATTCTGTTATTGTCAATCTCTTTACTATTGCCATTATACACTCGTCGCTATCAAAATTGAATTTTCGTAAACTTCCATATCATCATACAAAAGCTACCGTCACATTAATTCTCCAAATTTCAAGCTCGAAACTAGAGAGATGTTATGATCAGCTCATGGAAGAAAAAGGAAAGAGAGTACACAGACCTATCGATGTCTTCGTAGCCAGTAGGAAGTATAGTTTGTTGTGTTGGTGGTAAAAGGGAGGGGTGCTTTTACAATTGTTTATGGGGATTATTTTGCCGGACGGGAAGGATCACGGGTGATAGGAATGGAGAGATGGTGGATGAAAGATGAAGGTGTTGAATGTGTACATTCGATATTATAGCTCAGATAGCTTTATAGTTAGGGTATATAATGATCTCATTGCTTCTATGGAATGAAGATAAAGATGAAGATAGGGATTACCCTTCAGTGCATGGCGGCACGGCTGCTTGGCGGGGGACTTCTGATTGGAATTGATCTTTTTCTCTTTGCTTTGGAGGTTTGTTGCGAGCTTGGATGGAGATTCATACACTAATAAATACGGATCTTTGGTTTCTACATGTTTGTTGTCTTATCATGAATGATTATTGTCATTCTCCTTCACCAAAGCTCGCAAATCGGAAAACAGACGACATGTGAATTAAGGTGACAGTGATACTTATCTCACCACTGAAGCTTAAGAAACTTCTCCTGACCTGTCCATATAGGAGTTAGTATGCCCTCCCAGAGTCTGGATTTGTTGGACTGGGAGTTCTACATTGCTTTTGAGGTAATTTCATGCTGCGCAGTTGTGTATCTCGTGTCTGCTGTGTGGGTTCTTATATACAGGGCTTGGGAGTAAAAATGAGTACAGAATA